CGTGGGAGGTACTGGAGGAGGCACCGCCGCCAGTGTTCCCCCTACGGCCTGGCGGACTCCCAGGGCTGTGCGAATGGCTGCAGCGAGCGCTCCCCACAGCCCAGGCAGGGGCGCTGCTGCTGGCGCTGCCACCAGCGTCTCCCAGCGCTGCCCGAACCAAGGCTGCGGCACTGCGGGCCGGGGCGTGGAGGCCAGCTTTGCTGGCTAGCCTGGCGGCGGCGGCAGCACCACTCCCAGGACTGGGCTGGGCATGCGACGTAGCGCTTCTGCGGGGTCAGCTGGCCGAATGGCGACGGGGCCTGGGGCTGGAACCCGCGGCGCTGGCTCGACGTGAGCGCGCTCTGGGTCTGGCTCCTGGGGAGCTGGCAGCGCGTGCCCATTTCCCAGGCCCGGTGACGCGGGCTGAGGTGGAAGCAAGGCTGGGCGCGTGGGCGGGTGAGGGCACTGCTGGGGGCGCAGCACTGGGCGCACTCTCCTTTCTGTGGCCTGCTGGTGGCGCAGCGGCGACAGGTGGCCTGGGCTACCGCGCGGCTCATGGGGTCCTGCTGCAGGCGCTCGATGAGATGCGGGCTGATGCCGAGGCCGTGCTGACACCCCCTGAGTCTGCACAGTGAGGGGTGGGATGGGGGCCAGGCTCCCCCAAGTTTCACCTCAAGGGGAGGGGGCTTGGGAATCCAGATTCTGGCAGGGGATGTCTGGGCTTAATTCTGGGTGCTTGAAGGGGATGTGGACTCTGACTTCTAGCTGGGATATGTGACTTCTCATCACCTGGATTCAGAGAATCTGGGGGACAGGAATCCTGATTTCTTTAGGAACCATGGGGCATGACATCCGGACCCTTCAGTCCTGAAGGGAGTTGGTGGCTGGGACTCTGGAAGGGACTATGCCTTTGTCTCCTAGGGAGTAGAAACTGGAGTTATTGGATGTTTAGTCCTCCAGTGGAGGAGGGTCGAAGTCCTGTTTCCTAATTGGTGGGGAGGTGTCCATGACTGGGACCTGAACTCCAGTATAGGGGTGGGAGACCTGAGCGCCCCAGGGAGCTGGAACTCATGGGCTTCAGAGCCTCAGGGAAACAGGGTCTACATTTCTCTTGGAGAAAAAGCCTGCACACAGGTCCCAAAGGAGCAGTGGGCTTTGAATCTTTATGGGGTTGAGGAGTCCTCTGGAGTCCCAGCCTCCTGGGTTCCAAGATGGCTGGGGACCTTGGTTCCTATTCTTGGGTCAGGGGAGGTCTGCATCTGGAGGAGGGATTGAGGGCTTGTGGGAGAAAGCTCTTGATCACTCCTGGGGAGTAGATGGGTTTCTACTAACTGCCCTCCAAAAGTCTGTTTGTAGAGACGGTGGTCCCACAAAAATGAGGTGAGGTGGGTAAGAGGTCTGGGCATGGTGGGCTCTGAGAGTAGCTGGGGACCAGGAATGAGGCCTTCTGGGTGTGGAAGGGCAGGAAAGCACACCTCAGAGATACAGCTTCTGTAAACCTTGTGTTGGGATCCCGGCAACTGCCTCTGTGAGTGTGACTGGGAAGGGATATAACTGCCTTCACTTTCTAGGTGCTGAGCGATTCAGGTGATTTCTGGGGAGTCTGTTCCTCTGTCTCTTTTCTTTAGGGATATCTATCTGTTTTTGGCCTCAGTTTCTCCTGTCATTTAACCATAACCCTTTCTGGCCTTGGTGTTTTGTGCACCTTCCTTTTTGGAAGAGCAGCTGTGCTGCTGCACTGGTCCAAACACTTCTGTGTGGCTGCCTTGGGTATCTCCAAGAGGCTCTGCTTTCTTGTGTACATAGAGGGTGCTGCATTGAGCCAGGGGCCCACCAAATTAGTGGGCAGGCATTTGAGACCATGGGAATATGCCAGGAGTGAGTGAAGCAAAGGCAGAAACCACAGTGCCTGGAATGTTCTAGGCTGCTAGCGACATGTAGGGGGAAAGCTGCAGGTTACAGAATTCTTCAGCATCAGAAACAGAAAAGGAGGATCTGAAAATCCAAACAAAGTCCAGAGAGGGCAGGCTTGAGGCCCAGTAGCACACAGTGAGGCCCTGCAGGTCTGGCCCTTGCCTGTTCTCATTCCCTGCCCCTTCCCACTCCCATCCAGCCTGATAGGCTTTTCTTTCTTTTTTTTTTTTTTGAGATGGAGTTTTGCTCTGTTGCCCAGGCTGAAGTGCGGGGACATGATCTCTGCTCACTTCCAGCTCAGGCTCCTGAGTGGCTGAGATGACAGGCACGGCCCACCACACCTGGGTAATTTTTGTATTTTTAGTAGAGACAGGGTTTCACCATGTTGGCCAGGCTGGTCTTGAACTCTTGACCTCAGGTGATCCACCTGCCTCGGCCTCCCAAAGTGCTAGGATTCCAGGCATGTGCCATCATGCCCACCTGATTTTCTTTGTGATGCCTGAGTGGACACCTTGAATCCTGCCTGGGAAATCTTGCCCCTGCTGTTCTCTTTCCTGCAAGGCTCCGCTCACAACTTCCTGTCCTACTCTCAAATCTACCTTCTTGTGGCTGGCTCGGTCAGATCTCAGCTCAAATATCCCCTCAAAGAGAACTTCCCCTCCCTGGACACCCTGTCTGAAGTAGCTCATGTCCCCCATTATTCACTCCGGCCAGTTGAATTTCCTTGTAGCAATTATTACTGTGAAAAACGATCTTATTTATTTACCTGTTTATCGGCGTTTGACCCATTGCCTGTCCTGTTCTTTGTTGTTCCCCCAGCATCTAGAACAATAGCTGCCTGACACAATTGGTGCTTGGTAACTATTTATTATTATTATTATGATGCTAGAGACAGGGTCTTGCTCTGTTGTCCAGGCTGGAATACAGTGGCATGACCGAGATTCACTGCCACCTCCAACTCCTGGGCTCAAATGATCCTCACACCTCTGCCTACCGAGTAGCTGGGACTATAGGTGCACACCACCAAGTGTTTTGTAGAGACAGGTTTTGGTTTGTAGCCCATGCTAGTGTTGAACTCCTGGCCTCAAGCGATCCTCGCACCTTGATGGGAGTACAGGTATGAACCACCACAAAGCCAGCCTAAATGTTTATCTCATTGATCAGTGGCAGAACTAGGATTGGAATTTAGATTGTTGATCTCTTGCCACAAGATAGGAAAATGGAGCAAGATGGGGAGAAACAAGCATTTAATGGGAGAGAACGCCCTTGTCCAAGGTCAGGGGACCTGGGAAGCAAGCATGGCTTTGCCGCTGTCACTGTGTGTGACTTGGACAGTGCCTTATTTTCCCATCTGTTAAATGGAAGAGCTAGAGAAGAACCTTAAATAGTTTTGAGATCCTGTCTCCCTTAAAAGCTGAAGACAAGGGTAACTGATCTGAGGGCAGATACTTGAGGGATGGTACCACCGTCTCCAGCCTGGACTCCCACCATTGACACTGTTTGTCCCATCAAAGTTGAGATATCCACCATGGGGAAGAGCGCTTTGTTCTATACTGAATGGCTCCAGGCATTTTCATGAAAGCTCTTTCAGCTTTAGGGGAAGAATATTCATCCATATCTGTAATATCTAGTACACTCCTTTATAGCCCTCATATTAGGGTCTAAGCCCTGGCAATCAGGCATGTCACCCATGTGATGGAATGGGAGGGCTGCAGGGCAGCACTGTCCAGCAGAAACAAAATTCAAGCCACATGTGTCATTTTAAGAATTTTTTGTGTGTGACAGTCTTGCTCTGTCACCCAGGCTGGAGTGCGGTGGCGTGATCTCAGCTCACTGCAATCGCCTCCTGGGTTCAAGCGATCCTGCCTAAGCTTCCTGAGTAGCTGGGACTACAGGCATGCGCCATCACACCTGGCTAATTTTTGTATTTTTAGTAGAGATGGGGTTTCACCATGTTAGCCAAGCTGGTCCCAAACTCCTGGCCTCAAGTTATCCACCCACCTCAGCCTCCCAAAGTGCTGAAATTACAAGCAAGTTTTCTAATAGCCACATTAGACAATTAAAAGGAAACAGGTCAAATTTATTTTAACATATTTTACTTAACCCAGTATATCCAAAATAGCATTTTAGCTTGTCATCGATGTTTTTTAAATGAGTTATTTTACATTGTTTTATGCTGTCTTCAAAACCTGGTGTATATTTTAGACTTACACCACATCTCAATTACCATGATAATTTTTTCATCTGAAATGCTTGACCTGTGTTTCGAATTCATAAAATTCATATTTGGAGAAGTAGATTTACATATCCCAGTTCCAATTATATAATAGTTTTCCGAAAACTGAAGTGGGTGTCAATTTTTTTAAACTAGAGATGGGGGTCTCATTAAGTTAACCAAGATGGTTTTAGTTTTTCAGGCAGAGTCTCACTTTGTCACCCAGGCTGGAGTGCAGTGGTGTGACCTTGGCTTACTGCAGTCTCCACCTCCCAAGTTGAAGTCATTGTCTTGCATCAACCTCCTGAGTTGCTGGGACTACAGGCGTGTGCCACCACGCCTGGCTAATTTTTTATTTTCAGTAGAGATGGGGTTTCACCATGTTGGCCAGGCTGGTCTCAAACTCCTGACCTCAGGTGATCCACCCACCTCGGCCTCCCAAAGTGCTAGGGTTACATGTATGAGCCATCACGCTGCCACCAAGCTGGTTTTGAACCCCTGACCTCATATGATCCTCCCACCTCAGCCTTCCAAAGTGTTGGGATTACAGGCATGGTCCACCGTACCTGGCCTCAGCTGTTCAATTAAAAGTAAATAAGGCTGGGCGTGGTGGCTCAAGCCTGTAATCCCAGCACTTTGGGAGGCCGAGGCGGGTGGATCACGAGGTCAAGAGATCGACACCATCCTGGTCAACATGGTGAAACCCCGTCTCTACTAAAAATACAAAAAATTAGCTGGGCATGGTGGTGTGTGCCTGTAATCCCAGCTACTCAGGAGGCTGAGGCAGGAGAATTGCCTGAACCCAGGAGGCGGTGAGCCGAGATTGTGCCATTGCACTCCAGCCTGGGTAACATGAGTGAAACTCCGTCTAAAAAAAAAAAAAAAAAAGTAAATAAAACTTAAGATTCTATGTCTCATTGGCAATAGAACAACATTTCAAATACTCAGTAGCCATGTGTGATCAGTGGCTACAGTATTGGACAGTGCAGATGCAACTTCCATCAGCTGGAAATTCTATCAGCCTAGCTCTCAGGGCAGGTAGTCCTTCAACTGACTTGAGCATGTCACTCCACAAATGGCCTCTACCTCATGTGGTTATGGTGAGAATCAAGCGTATGTATGTATATACATGCAGACAACATGTGCACACACTCATAACATAGTGCACCCTTTCATGAGAAGCCTGACACACTGGGAGCTCAAACTTGAGTGCCACTCAGCCCTGGGCATCACCAAGATGGCTCTAGTCTGGGCGCCTTTTGTCTCATCCCATGCCTTTGCTCAGAATGTGCCCCTCCTTTTTCTGTCACTTTGACACCATCTCTGATTTGGTCCTGTCTGACATCACTGCTATATGCTTTGCTGCTCTAAATTTCCTCTGCCCTCATGCCAGCAGGAGTCATGCCAGAGATCATATCTGAGAAAGCAAGACAATTTTGTGTGTGTGTGTGTGTGTGTCTGTGCCCATAGAGGAGTGCTGGTTGTGTTGATATAGTTAGTTGTGTATTGGTTGTGTTTATATAGTTGTATATATTGACACCCTTGAGTGTTAGGGCTCTTTGTGAGGGTGTTCACCTTTTAAATCATGACTTTCAATGGGATTGAATTTTAGTCTTTGTGAAGACATAAGGTTGTCGATAGGCATCTGTCTCTGGGAGCGTCCAAGCAGAAAAGACTAAGACTCTCGTGTAGACAGATCACTGGCTGCCATCAAAGCGTGTCTGTATGGCACCACAGGGCTGGAAGACTCTTAAAGGCAGGAATTCAAGGAAATTGATGATGAATTTTGGAATTGCCCTCAGAAGCAGAACAGGCACGGAAAACTTGGGTGAGTGGGCGAGGCAGCCTAATCACCACAGCAGAGTTCCATATATTCCTGGATAATGGTGGAGGGGTTTGTGTCCACTGCAGTGGGGAACCATGAAGGACACATCAAAGATATGGTTGGCCTGTGGTGCCCTTTGGAGGAATGAATAAAAATGAATAGAAATCCTATTGTGTGTCTGTTTTTCTGGAGTTTGAGGGAACAAAAAGATCCTCAAGATTTTGACTGTGCTGGAAACCTAGACTCTGGGTCTGGGGATTGGAGGGATGGTGGGGAATCTGCCAGGAAAGACTGGGCTGTGATCAAGAGACTTTATCAGTATCTGAGTTTTGCCACCCTGGAAGGAGTGCAGGCAGACTTCCTGTTTAAACATTGGGAGCTTGTGATGGTAAAGCACCTTACCTCTGGAGCCAGCTGGACCCATTAATGTCCCCAGTTGGTCCAGCCTTTCTGTAGCCATTCAGTTGAATTGTTGCTCTCCTTCTAACTCTAGACTTGACTATGTGATTTGCTTTGACCACTAGAACAACAGCAAATGTGATGCAAGCAGCGGCTTGAAAAGTGCGTTGCACACTGGACTTCCTCTCTTGCTGCCCTTGGGGCCCCTCCCACCACTGCCACATCCAAACCCCAGGCTGGCCCAGCACAGTGGCTTGTACCCAGAATCCCAGCACTTAGGAAGGCAAAGGTAGAAGGATTACATGAGTCCAGGAGATCGAGGCCAGCCTGGGCAACATGGCAAGACCCCATCTCTACAAAAAATCAACAACAGCTTTTCTGGTCCCGGTTGCAGAAGCAGGATGACAAAGGGAATGTCATCGTTTGGGAAGCGTCGCAATAAAATGCACGCGTTGTGCCGCCGCTGTGGCTCTAAGGCCAACCACCTTCAGAAGTCGACCTGTGGCAAATGTGGCTACCCCGCCGAGCGCAAGAGGAAGTATAACTGGAGTGCCAAGGCTAAAAGACAAAATACCACCGGGACTGGTCGAATGAGGCACCTAAAAATTGTATATCACAGGTTCAGGCATGGATTCCGTGAAGGAGCAACACCTAAACCCAAGAGGGCAGCTGTTGCAGCATCCAGTTCATCTTAAGAATTTCACAGATTGGCCGGGCGCGGTGGCTCACACCTGTAATCCTAGCACTTTGGGAGGCCGAGATGGGTGGATCACCTGAGGTCAGGAGTTCAAGACCAGCCTGGCCATTGTGGAGAAACCCCATCTTTAAAAAAAAAAAAAAAAAAAAAAGAATTTCACCAATTAGTCATGCAATAAATGTTCTGGTTTAAAAAAAAAAAATCAACAACAAAATTAGCCAGATTGGTGGTGTGCACTTGTGGTCCCAGCTACAGAGGGGAGGCTGAGGCAAGAGGATTGAGTCCAGGAAGTCAAGGCTAAAGTGAGCTCTGATGGCTCCACTGCACTCACACTCCAGCCTGGGAGACAGAGCAAGACAATGACCTGGCCGGGCGTGGTGGCTCACGCCTGTAATCCAAGCACTTTGGAGGCCAAGGTGGGCGGATCACCTGAGGTCAGGAGTTCAAGACCAGCCTGACCAACATGGTGAAACCCTGTCTTAAAAAAAAACAAACAAACAAACAAAAAAAAAAACCTTTAAAAAAAAAAAAAAAAGCCAGGCCTGGTGGTTCATACCTGTAATCCCGGCACTTTGGGAGGACATGGTGGGTGGATCACCTGAGGTTGGGAGTTCGAGACCAGCCAGACCAACATGGAGAAACCCTGTCTTTATTCTAAAAAAAAGAGGATGGAAGGGAGGGGGACAGAAGGAAGGGAGGGAGGGAAGGAGGAAGGGAGGGAGGGAAAGAAAGAAGGAAGGAAGGAAGGAAGGAAGGAAGGAAGGAAGGAAGGAAGGACCTGAGCTAAAGAGATACATGGCCCAGTCATCCTTGATCCCTGAAATAGGCAGCTGAGACTAAAAGAATTGCCCAGCTGATCCCAGACCAAATTGCAACCCAGAGAAACATGAACTAAACAGGTGATTGTTCTAAACCACTAAATTTTGTAGTGTTTTTTTAATGTAGCAAAAGCAACTAATTTGTTCTCTCAGTATGTGATGTGGTCTTTCTCTCCCCAGCAACATGACCTAATGATTAAAATCTTAAACTCAGTGGCACAACTGGCTTGAGCGATTGGAAACAAGATGCAGGACCCCAGGGCAGACACTGAGTGGAATGACATCTTACACAAAAAGGGCATCTTGCCCCTAAGGAAAGTCTGAAAGAATCGGAAGAGGAGGCAGAAGAGGAGCAGCACATCGTCCAGCAGTCAGTGCTGACAACATATGAAAATATGACTTTGGAAGAGCTGAAGGATCATGAAGACAAGTTTAATGAGGAGGACAAACGTGGTATTGAAATGTACAGATGGCAGAGACTGGCTGAGTGGAAAGCAACTAAACTGAAGAATAAATTTGGAGAAGTTTTGGAGATCTCAGGGAAGGATTATGTTCAAGAAGTAACCAAAGCCAGTAAGGGCTTGTGGGTCATCTTGCACCTTTACAAACAAAAGGAATTCCCCTCTGTGCCCTGATAAATCAGCACCTCAGTGGACTTGCCAGCAAGTTTCCTGATGTCAAGTTTATCAAAGCCATTTCAACAACCTGCATGCCCAATTATCCTGATAGGAATCTGCCCACCATATTTGTTTACCTGGAAGGTGATATCAAGGCTGAGTTTATCGGTCGTCTGGTGTTTGGTGGCATGAACCTGACAAGAGACGAGCTGGAGTGGAAACTGTCTGAATCTGGAGCAATTAAGACGGACTTGGAGGAGAACCCTAAGAAGCAGATTGAAGACATGTTGCTGTCCTCAGTGTGCCGCTCTGTCCCCACGTGGAGGGACAGCGATTCTGACAGGGACTGAGGCTGCAGCTGCTATCACATGCTGAACTTTCTGTGACAAATTGTCTGAATTTTTTAAAAAAGGAAAAAACAAGAATGAATCCTTCTGATTTAGTTTTGTATAAACTACGTTGTAAGTCTTTACATTTTGGAAATAATCATTGCTGGAAATTCTGTTAAATAGTTTACAACATTTTAAATTATAGTATTTCCTGTAAAAAAAAATTAAAACCAGCTCTTGGTATGGTTAAAAAAAAAAAAAAATCTTAAACTCTGCCACTTTTTAGTTGTGTAACCTCCAGTGAGACAGCCCTCTGAGCCTCCAATGTCTCCTGAAAACAGGGATGCGAATAATAGTGCCTATTACATAGAGTTGTGAAAATAAAATGAAAAACAGCTTCTAAGGGGTCATGGAGGTCATTTGTGCTATTAATGAAACATGTCCAGCTCTCTGTCTTCTGACCTTGGGGCAGGATCTCACTTCCTGGTCCCCATGTGGTTGGATGGGCCACATGACTAGCTCCATCCAGTGACTTGTATTAAAAGTCACTTCTGGGTCACAGCATATGATTATCCATGGTAGACTTCCTGTGGCACAGAAATTGGCCATGTTCAAGTTGGTGGATTCTTTCTCTTTCTTTCCTTTCTTTTCCCTTCCTTCCTTCTTTCTTTCCTTCCTTCCTTCCTTCCTTCCTTCTTCCTTCCTTCTTTCTCTCTTTCTTTCTTTCTTTCTTCTTTCAACAGGGTCTCACTCTGTCACCCAGGCTGGAGTGCACTGGCAAGATCTCAGTTCACTGTAACCTCTGCCTCCTGGACTCAGGTGATCCTCCTGTCCAAATAGCTGGGACTACAGGCATGCACCACCACACCTGGCTAATTTGTTTGTATTTTTATAGAGACAGGGTTTCTCCATGTTGCCCAGACAGTTCTTAAACTCCTGGGCTCAGATGATCCTTCTGCCTCGGCCTCCCAAAGTCCTGGGATGACAGGCATGAGCCATCATACTCTGCCAGTGGCTACTTTATGATTGTGATGAGCTGAACACCCTCTAGATAGTGCTAGGGTGAAGGAAAATTTAATATTTTTTGAATGGGCAGTCATTCAGCAAATATCCACTCTTCTCCCTGCCACTGGAGAGGGAGTATATTTCCCTGCTCCACTGATGGGTTTGACCATATGATTTACTTAATGGAATTTTAGCAGGCCTAACCTTAGCAAGAGCCTTAAATACACTTGGCTTTTGTGCTCCTGTGATATGCCATGAGAGCATTTGCCAGGGAGCTGCTGATCCCAGAAAATTGTGGAATCCCATGGAAGAGAGATCTGAATCCTCCCAAACTGCAGCCAAAGCAGCCATCCCACAAACCCTTAGAAGAAGGCTTGTTGGTATAAGTTTCAGTTTTCAGGCTGAGGTGGGTGGATTGCTTGAGCCCAGGAGTTTGAGACCAGCCTGGGCAACATGGGGAAACCCTGTCTCTAAAAAAAAAATTAATACAAAAATAGCTGATTGGTCTCTGTTATTCTATGTCCTTCACCGCAGGAGGCCCCGATGACTTTGTCACAGCCTCCATTGCCTTGTGATCTTCAGGTCCTGGGAGACACACAGCTAAGATGCCAGGACATCCTGGAAGCTGGGAAATGGTGGATTGGTTACTCTCAGACCAAGATTCAGCAGACATGTGAGGCTGTGACTGCACTGAAAGGCACTGTCTGTAGACCAAATTGTGGCTCTCTTTTTTTTTTTTTAATACAAAGTCTCACTCTGTTGCCCAAGCTGGAGTGCAGTGGCTTGATCTCAGTTCACTGCAACCTCTACCTCCTGGGGTCAAGTGATTCTCCTGCCTCAGCCTCCCCAGTAGCTGTTACTACAGGCACCATGCCCGGCTAATTTTTTGGTATTTTTTAGTAGAGATGGGATTTTACTATAGTTGGCCAGGCTGGTCTTGAACTCCTGACCTCGTGATCCACCCGCCTTGGCCTCCCAAAGTGCTGGGATTACAGCATGAGCCACCACACCTGGCCCAAAATTGTAGCTCTCTTGCAAAAATTTTGTCAAGCATGAGATTGTGACTTATGTACTTAGACCCAACATACAGGAGGTGTTGACCCTCATACCTAAAACCTGGACATGTATGGAATTTCTAATCTCATTCCTGAACTTTCCTGCAGGTGTGATTGTGACATATGCCTTTGTCCAGCACCTGAGTGATTTCAGTTTCCTGCCTGGTCCCAGCCCAAAGGTGATGTGACTCTTCTTCAGCCTGTGCCCCGCCGAAAGAGGATTGTGATGTATCACTGGACCCAGCACCTAGATGATGTAACTCTCATCTTTTGCTTGGATCTTGCATATTTTGGGTGGATTGGTGACTCTCAGGTCAAGATTCAGTACACCTGTGAGGCTGTGATTTTACTGAGGAGACACAGTCTGCAGAAGAGATTGAGGCTGTTATGCATGGATTCATCTACACTGAGATTGTGATTTGTGTACTTAGACCCAACATCCAAATGATATTGATTCTCATACCTAGAATGAAGACATGTGAAGAAAAAAAAAAATATCCAGGCATGGTGGCACACGCCTGTAGTCCCAGCTACTAGGAAGGCTGAGCAGGGAGGATTGATTGAGCCCATGAGGTTGAGGCTGCAGTGAGCTGTGATGGTGCCACTGCATTTTAGGTTGGGAGACAGAGTAAGACTCTGTCTCAAAGGAAAAAAAAAAAAAAGAGGCCGGGCACGGTGGCTCACGTCTGTAATCCCAGCACTTTGGGAGGGCCAAGCAGGCGGATGACGAGGTCAGGAGATCAAGACCATCCTGGCTAACAAGGTGAAAAACAATCTCTACTAAAAATACAAAAAATTAGCCTGGCATGGTGGCATACACCTGTAATCCCAGCTACTTGGGAGGCTGAGGCAGGAGAATCGCTTGAACCCGGGAGGCGGAGATTGCAGTGAGCTGAGATTGTGCCACTGCACTCCAGCCTGGGTGACAGAGTGAGGCTCCCTCTCAAAAAAAAAAAGTCTCAGTTTTAGGATGATTTGTTACACAGCATTATTACAGTGTTTGTTGTTTTAAACCACTGAGATCAGGGACTTGTTTTGTTACTGTAACATCATCTAGTTTGTCTCAGTTGAAGCCAGTGTTTAGCACCTGTCAACAAATGGCCACTCAGTAAGTGGCAGCTATTATGATGATTACTGTTTACTCGGGCACACATTGTCTTTAGAATCCACGTGGTCTTAAAGGTGCTAGGCATTGCACTAAGCGCTTTTTTTTTTTTTTTTTTTGAGATGAAGTTTGCTTCTTGTTGCCCAGGCTGGAGTGCAATGGCACGATCTCAGCTCACCGCAACCTCCGCTTCCTGGGTTCAAGCCATTCTCCTTCCTCAGCCTCCCAAGTAGCTGGGATTACAGGTATGTGCCACCAAGTCTGGTTGACTTTCTATTTTTAGTAGGGATGGGCTTTCTCCATGTTGGTCAGGCTGGTCTCAAACTCCCAACGTCAGGTGATCTGCCCACCTTGGCCTCCCAAATTGCTGGGAGTACAGGGGTGATCCACCATGCCCGGCCTGCACTAAGTGCTTTTTAAGTTGGCTTTCATTTGACTCTCACAACAATCTTATGAGTTTATAACTATTAATCTCTGCATTTTGCAGACATGAACACTGAGGCAAAAAAGGAAGAAGTTAATTGAAAGAGATGATCATGGACTCTGAACTATACCAGACTTGGGGTCAAATCAAGGTTCTGACCCTCTCTAGTTGTTTGACCCAAGACACTTACAATCTGTGCCTCAGTTTGTTCATCTGTAGAGTGGGGGTAATACTATCAACCTCATAGAGTTGTTATGATCATGAAATGAGGTATAGGATGGAAAACACAGCATAGGGAACTGGCAAGGATTCATCCCTCCATAAAAGGCAGGGCTGCCAAGCACGGTGGCTCACACCTGTCATCCCAGCACTTTGGGAGGCCAAGGATGGCACACTGCCCAACCTGGGCAACATGGTGAAACCCTGTTGCTATAAAGAATTAGCCGGGCGTGGTAGTGTATGCCTGTAGTCCCAACTACTAGAGAGGCTGAGGTGGGAGAATCACCTGAGCCTGGGAGGTCGAGGCTGCAGTGAGCCCTGCTTGTGCCACTGCACTCTAGGCTGGGCGACAGAGTAAGACCCTGCCTCAAAAAAAAAAAAAAAAAAAAAAAAAAAAGGCAGGGCCTTCCTTCTCTTCCTCAAAAGGAGGGGGTTTGAAAAGAGTATTGAGACCCCCTACTTCCTCATTCTGTCTCCTCAGCAGATCCCACATCACAAGGACTCAGGCTCGGTCTATGAACTTCTTTAATTTATAGACACATAGGGAGCCCAATGGGGACTTCGCGCCACTCATATCTTCCTCGGGTCAGTGAGCTCTCCAGGCCTCTGGCGTGGGGGCCCGACTGCACTCTGTTCGGCTGAGGACGAGGACATGGGAGGCTGTGGGCACTTCAGCACCTGGATTGGCGTAGCATATACTCTCTGTAGCACAGCCCCGCATGGCAAATCTGGGTTTGAAGATACCTGAAAGGGAGATTTCAGATTGGAATCAGGGACCTCAGCCTGTTCTTCCTCATCATCCCTGAACACATCCTCACCCACTTCTCTGGAACCCTCTCCTCCCATGGAACCTAAAAGTTGGGGCCTCTAGTTCTGTTTCCTCCTCCAGAGATCCAGGCACCCCTCACCAGCCTGCACGTGTCCAGATAAGGAGGTGCAGTAGTTTTCCTTGCCAGCACAGCGGGTCATGGGCCCCATGCATTTGTCCTTGAAGATCGAAGTGCAGGCGGGGCACATCAGGCCGTTCTCAGTACGATTAATCAAGGGAACTGAGGATGAGGATGAAGCGTCAGGTGAACAGGGATGTTTAAGCCCTTCCCCCAACCTCCCAGCAACCCCAGGGTTGCTAATGGACGCCGCATTTTACAGGTTAGGGAACAGGCTCAGAGCCAACAAGTGGCTACAGCAAGGGTTAGCAGAGATCAGAGCACACACCACAGGCCTGCTCCTGGGGCAGGGCAGGGCAGGGCTGGGCTGGCACTTACCAGACAAAAAGCCACTGTTGCAGTTGTCGCTCTGGCAGCAGAAGGAGTTGGTTGCCAAGTAGTCCTGGGGGCCCATGGTGGTGGATACGTTGCCGGAGGAGCAGTCCTGGGACCTGGTGCAGCCCTTGTAGGTGTGCACCCACTCCTTGCCCTCTGCAGGATGGGGGACAGGAGGGGAGGGAGGTGGTTGACCACTCCCTGGTCTCAATCACTGCCTCAAGGTCCCCCCTAACCCTAGGCTTCCCCAACCCCACAATTTCCTGGGAAGGTCTCTTTCTTTTTCTTTGTTTCTTTTTCTTTTTTTTTTTTTTTTGAGACTGAGTTTCACTCATGTTACCCAGGCTGGAGTGCAATGTCGCGATCTCGGCTCACCGCAACCTCCGCCTCCTGGGTTCAGGCAATTCTCCTGCCTCAGCCTCCTGAGTAGTTGGGATTATAGGCACGCACTACCATGCCCAGCTAATTTTTTGTATTTTTAGTAGAGACGGGGTTTCACCATGTTGACCAGGATGGTCTCGAACTCCTGAGCTCAGGTGATCGGGCCCCCACTCGACCTCCCAAAGTGCTGGGTTTACAGGCGTGAGCCACCGCTACCGCCCAGCCGGTGGTCTCTTCCAAGCCAGCTAGAGGCAAGCCGCCTAATCTGTCTGGTGCATGGCCTGGGGTGGTTTCTTAGATCGCCCTTCCTCCCGCTGCCATAGCCCCTGGTCGGCGTTTGGTGGTCTCTTCCAGCTCCCCATTGCCAACCTCAGCCTGTCTGACGTGGTCCCTTCCACCCCACCCCACCCACGGCTATCCCTCTCTCCCTGTCCTGCCGGGATTGCTCTATTTTAGGCCGCCTGTGGCCACCCCCATGCCTGCGTGAAATAGTCTCTTCCAGCCTTCACAACTCCCCGTCCACCCCGGGGGTCTCTTCCAACGAACCCCAGTCCCATCGACACTCACCGTTCTCTCTCAGATCCTGCCATGGTCACTCCTCAGACCTCCCATCGAGAGTCCCTTGCAGTCCCTCTTGGCTATTTTCAGGTCTTGTTTAAGGTGAGTTCTTCCAGTCTCCCCGGCCTTCCCCCTCTCCACCATGTGGTGGTCTCTTCCTACCCAATTCACAGGTTCCCCCTTGACCCCATCGAAGGGTCCCCCAGCTCTCTCTCTTCCCTTCCCCAGGGTGCGTTTCCTCTTCTGTGTCGGGGTGAGGGGGTCTCTTCAAGCCTTTCAGGTCCTTGCGTAACACATCAACGCTGGCTGGGGGATCTTCTATTCCGCTTTCCTTTCTAACCCACTTTCCTTTCTCAGCCCCTCCCGACCAGTGGTTTCTTCCTGCACCCAAAGTTGCCCTTCATCTGCCACAGCCTTCATTTCCTCACTAGGCCCCATCATCTCTCCTCTCGTGACTAAAGGTCTCTTTCAGCTTTGCATAAACATCCCTGTCCCCCAGTGGTCTCTTCCACTGCCCCCTTTCTCCTCCATCCTTTTTCAGGTCTGGGGTGGTCTCTTTCATTTAACTCATGCCCGTCTTCTGTCTTTCATTTTATTTTCTGAGACAGGATTTCCCTCTGTCGCCCAGGCTGGAATGCAGTGACGTGCACGTAGCTTACTGCAGCCTCTATCCCCAAGCTCAAGTGATCCTCCTGCCTCAGCCTCCCAAGTGGCTGGGACTACAAGCATGTGCCACCATGTCCTACTAATTTTTTTTTTTTTTTTTCTGTAGAGATGGGGTCTCTTTGTTGTTCAGGCTGATCTCAAACTCCTGGGTTCAAGCGATCCTCCCACCTCGGCCTCCCACAGTGCTGGGATTACAGGTGTAAACCACTGCACCTGGCCTCCCTTTCATTTTACTCATCCACATCTCCCCTTCCCTGTCTGCTTCTCCTCTTTAAAATGATTTGCTCAGTAGAGTACGGTGGCTCATGCCTGTAATCCCAGCACTTTGGGAGGCTGAGGTGGGAGGATCACTTGAGGTCAGGAGTTTGAGACCCGCCCGGCCAACATGGTGAAACCCTGTCTCTACTAAAAATACAAAAATCAGCCAGGCATGGTGGCACACACCTGTAATTCCAGCTACTCCAGAGGCTGAGGCAGGAGAACCGCTTGAACCCGGGAGGTGGAGGTTGCAGTGAGCAGAGATCGTGCCACTGCACTCCATCCTGGGTGACAGATGATTTTCTCCATACTTCAGGGTTATTGTCCCTCTCCTGTTTGGGTGGTCCCTTTTCTGTCTCTCCCACTACTCCAACAGTCCAGCATCATCTCTCCTCCCTCAGTCAGGAATGATCTCTTCCCCGATTACACTTACATTCTCCCACCCCAGCCCAGCCTCTTCCTTCGCTATCCGCTCCCCACCATTTCCACCTCCTGCCTGTTAGATTCTTCCCATCTCACTAGTTCTCTGTTCCTTCTCATGTCTTTCCTTACTCCTCTTCTGCCTAAGAAAGTCTGTGAACTCTCACCCCTCCCCCATTTTCCTTCTCTTTAGAACAGTCTCATTTTCAGAATCCTGTGACAATAATGATTGCTATCGCACCATTTATTTCTCTTCTCTCCATCTCATGATGGTCTTTCCCTCTTTCCTGCTCTCCACTGATTTCTTCCCATGCTCCCCCATCCTGAGAACCGTGATGATCCCCCCTCTGTGTGGTAGTATCTTCCACCCTGAAGGTACACCCCATCTCCCCACCACGTCCCAGGTCCCGGCCCCTTACTTGAATTAGCCTTCCCCACCAGGATCACGCACGAGTTCTGGTTGCTCCTGCAGGTCTTCATTTTGCCATGGCAGCTGCTCCCGGCTGCCTTACAGACTTCACAGCGTAGTGGGTACCCTGCAGTGTAGACAGAGGGCGAGGCTGTAGTCATGGGTGGTATGGTCTTCGGACCATGACTTTAACTTTGGACTTTTGTGTCCTGAGAATGGAGGGACCAGCGGCTCCCTGGTCTTTCTTGAGCCGGGTGTTGACCGCTGCCCAAGGAGCTGTCCAGAGTCTGACGAGGAAGCAGTGGCGATACCCGCAAAGCTACTTCCAGGGGCGGGAAGCAGCTCCACCATGAAGTCTGTCTGCCTAATTACATGGCTGGGAATTTTGGATGCCAGGGTCCTCTGAGAAAGCTCAGGGGCAGGAGGGGTCATGGCAGAGGTTTCCATGGACTTTTTTTTTTTTTTTTGAGACGGAGTTTCACTCATGTTACCCAGGCCGGAGTGCAATGGCACGATCTCAGCTCACCGCAACCTCCGCCTCCTGGGTTCAGGCAATTCTCCTGCCTCAGCCTCCTGAGTAGCTGGGATTACAGGCACGCACCACTATGCCCAGCTAATTTTTTGTATTTTTAGTAGAGACGGGGTTTCACCATGTTGACCAGGATGGTCTCGATCTCTTGACCTCGTGATCCACCCGCCTCGGCCTCCCAAAGTGCTGGGATTACAGGCTTGAGCCACCGCGCCCGGCCTCCATGGACTTTTGTGAAACTTCAGGTCCAGCTGATTCTTGAATGTGGGATTCTCCTCCTTGAAGGTACCACGTAGGTCTTGTAGACAGTGGGAGCTCAGGCAGGGGGCCCTGAGGCGGGGGTCTGCATCCTAGGTCAAGGAGGGAGAGTGAGAACCAGGAGGACAGAGGACATGAACTCCTTGGTCCTGAGAGAGGAGACAACTAGGGGCGCAGATACGTGGGTCTTGGGGAAAGTGAGGCTTATCTGGACTCCCGTGTAGAGGGGAGGAGAGGGCTGGGGCCTGAACTCCTCAGTCTAAGGAGAAAGAAAATCTCTCTCCTTCTGTTTAAAAAATTCTGTTCTTTCTGATCCAGTCTAGTGCCCCCCCAAAAAAAGAAAAAGAAAAAAGAAAAGAAATTCTATTCCATTCTATTCTATCCTATCCACTGATTTATTTATTTATTTATTTATTTTTTGAGATGGTGTTTTGCTCTGTCACCCAGGCTGGAATGTGCAGTGGTGTGATCTCAGCTAACTGCAACCTTCGCCTCCCAGGTTCAAGCAATCCTCCCACCTCGGCCTCCCAAGTAGCTAGGATTACAGGCACCCACCACCACCCTCAGCTAACTTTTTTTGTATTTTTAGTAAAGACGGGGTTTCATCATGTTGGCCATGCTGCTCTCAAACTCCTGACCTCAAGTGATCTGCCCACCTTGGCCTCTTAAAGTGCTGGGGTTACAGGCATGAATCACCACACCTGACCTTCTCCCTCTTTTTAAAAAATTATATTTTAATGATTTCCCTTTCCAGCATGCTCTCATCTGATTTCCTAGAATTGAGAGGTCTTATCTGGGACCCTTCCTGGAGGGTGGAGAATTCAGAGCCCACCAAGCCCCTCTCTCAGGGATCCAATCATAGGAGCCTTTCTTCTCTGGCACTCCCAGGCTTTCTCTTCCTTTACCCTTGGCCTCTTCCATGAATCTGAATTTCCAGAATTCCTTCCCGTTCACCTAGAGGACTTGCTGAAGGCTCTCTCGTAGTCTTCTCTTTCCTGAGGTCCCAGAAAGAATCTAGGTCCCTTATCACTTACCAAGACCCAGGAGGGTGCAGAACAGCACGAAGGCCAGCAGAAAGGTTCCCGGTCTCCTGGAGGGCCTCATCATGTGTGTACCAGCAGTACTCAGTCCCCAGCTTTTATAGGAAGCTGAGGAGGGGCGGGACCAGACCCACATTCACCCTGCAGGGAGAAATAGTTGAGATCAGAACCCTGGGGCAGTCCTCTGTGGCCTCTGGATTGGGAAGGCGGAACCAGAATCCAAAAGTGACCTGGGCATCTTGTGCCCAGCCCCCACCTCCATGGAGACCCCACGAGTCTGGGCTTCCAGCCCCGTCTTCCATTAGAACCCAGAATGTCACTTCCCTGTTTTCCACCTTCCCACTACCCATTTTTGTTTGTTTGTTTGCTTGAAGACCAAGATGGAGTTGGGCCACTTGATTCCCAGCAGCTGCAAGAACTGGGATTCCCTCTCCTCTCTCTTCCCCTCTCCTCCCAAGGAAGCACCCAGTGTGGGTGGGGCCCTACCTTGGGGCATGCAGCATGTCCAGGCTGGTCCTTCGGGTGCCAGGTGCTTTGTCTCCCTTCCCTTCTCTTCATGTGCTTGGCTCACACTCTCTGTATGTTTGGGCTGTCTCTGGCTGCGACCTCACCCAAGGCTGTACCCTTGGGTGTCCAAGGGACCGAACGAACAGAGGGATGCCTGTCAGCAGCCATAGGTGGGCGTAGTAAAAGACAAATGCTCACAGGCCACATATTGGGAAACTGAGGCTTTTGTGGAAGCATTCTAGAGTAGGGGTGCGCGCTTGCGCGTGTGTGTATGTGGTTTGGGCATATGTTTTTTGTTATATTTAGGACTCTGAATCCGTCTCTTTTGGCCTCAGGCATAAGGCTGAGAGAGATCTGAGAATTTTTTCGTGTGTGTGTGTGTGTGTGTGTGTGTGGCAGGGGGACAGAGGGAAGAGTGCAGCCGTCTGAGCTGTTGGAGAAGATCCTGTTGTGCAGGATCCAGGTTCCCTACGAAACTATGAAAATTCACTCAGATTTGCTGTCCTAGCCCAGCGCGGTGGCTCACGCCTGTAGTTCCAGCACTTGGGGAGGCCAAGGCAGGCGGATCGCTTGAGCTCAGGAGTTGGAGACCAGTCCGAACATCAGGGCAAGACCCGCCACCCCCCTCACCTCTCCCCCGTCTCCACAAAAAATACAAAAATTAGCCGAATGTGGTGTGCCTGTAATCCCAGTTTAGGAGGCTGAAGTGGGAGGATTTCTTGAGCCCAGGAGATAGAGGTTGCAGGGACCCGAGATCCTGCCACTGCACTTCATCCTGGGTGAGAGATCAAGACCCTGTCTCAACAAAAAATTTTAAAAAATAAATAATAATAATAATAATACAGCAAAAAGATTTGCTGTCTAGGCTCCAGTATGGGCGGTGACTGCATCGTCCAATGAGAATCGCGAATTTCTTCTAGACACCAATCCCAGAGGCGGCCTTTGTTGCTAGGCGCCCAGAAAGTAGGGTGTGGACGTCATCGGGAGGCGGGGCTCGGGCGGGGGTGTGTGGCAGAGGGAGAAGGGGCTGCAGGAAACGCTCGTTGCTAAGGAACGCAGTGCACTTCCCGCTCCAGAGAGGCGCGACTGAGCTTGCGCAGTGTCCACGCCAGCGCCGGCGCGCCGGGGTTTGAAAGGCCCGAGTCTCGTGCGCTTGCGCACTTCAGCCTGCGCAGGGTGCACCCCACCGCCTCCCACCTTCCTTGCCCCTCCGACCCCAGACCGTACCTCATCCCTCTGGCCAAGTGAAGCCCACGAAGTTGACATGCCGGAGATCCGCCTCCGCCATGTCGTGTCCTGCAGCAGCCAGGACTCGGTGAGGGACCTGCGTCGGGGGAGGTTGGGAGACGTGAGGGAATTAATGAGGATAGCTCCTTAAAGAACTTTTGGGGTCCTTCTTGGAAGTCTAAGGAGAGTCAGTGGGGGGATTTCCGGGAGGCTAAAAGTGAGTTGTGGAGAGGTGTTGAATCAGGGACATTCTGGCCTCCAGGGAACTTCCGGAGAGAAAAAGAGGAATAGGGAAGCTTTCTTGGAGAGCCCGTAGGTGAACTTCCACAGGAACGTGTTGTTCCCCCAAACTCCAGGCAGAGTGTGGGGGGATTAACGGGGGAGCTTAAATCCGGAGGATCATACAGGCCTTGGGAGGACTCAAAGGAATTATCTGAGAGCTGGAGGCCTAGCTGTCATCTCTGTGCCCTAATTCTCCTCTCCCATTCTTGTTTCCAGACCCACTGTGCAGAAAATCTTCTCAAGGCAGACACTTACCGAAAATGGCGCGCAGCCAAGGCAGGCGAGAAGACCATCTCTGTGGTCCTACAGGTGATCCTGCCACCCCACCTCCTCCTCACTAGGAATCTGGAGTCTGGGGCATTCGGATTCTGCTCCTGAGCCAACTGGCAATGGGTTGAGTCACTTTCTTTGCTGGGCCGCAGCCTCATTACCTGGAAAATGGGCAGCATAATCCCTGTGCCCCTCAGCAGAGGGGAAAGGAGACCCAAGGATTAGGTCCAGGATGACCATAGGAATCAGTGTGTGGTCTGGGCAGGTGGCTTCTACTTTCTGGGTCCCAGTTTCCTTAGCTGGAACAAAATGAATTATTGCAATGTGCCCTGCCTGCTGCAGCCAGTGAGCTCAGGACTGGAAGGTGTCCAGGAAGGTCATCTAAGCCAATCAACTCCACTTCAAAGAAGGGGAAACTAGCCAGGTATAGTGGCTCATGCCTGTAATCCCAGCACTTCCGGAGGCTGCGGTGAGAGGATTACTTGAGCTCAGGCGTTCCAGACCAGCCTGGGTAACATATCACGACCCTGTCTCTACTTTTATTAAAATAAATATTTTTTTTTTTAAAGAATAATAGGCCAGGTGTGGTGGTTCACACCTGTAATGCCAGCACTTTGGGAGGCTAAAGCTGGAGGATCTCATGAGCCAGGAGTTTGAGACCAGCATGAGCAATATACTGAGATGTCGTCTCTACAAAAATTTTATAAATTAGCCAAGTGTGAGGATGTACACCCGTAATCCAAGCTACTGGGGAGTCTGAGGTGAGAGTGAGAGGATTGCTTGAGCCCAAGAGATGGAGGCTACAGTGAGCTGAGATCGCACCACTGCACTCCAGCCTGGGCAATGGAGGGAGACCCCCAAAAAATAAAAAATAAAAGAATAATAATGAGAGCTAACATTATTCAACATTACCTGCCAGTCACTGCTCTACACACCTCACTTCTGGATTAGCTCAGTGAGTCCTCATAAAAAACCCCATGAGACAGGGTCTGTTATTATCCCCAGTTTAACAGATGAGGAAACTGAGGCCCAAAGAAGTTATACAACTTGTCTGACAGTCAATCTTTTATTTGTTTATTGAGACAGAGTCTCACGCTGTTGCGCAGCTGTAGTGCAGTGGCACAATCTTGGCTCACTGTAACCTCCACCTCCTGGGCTCAAGCGATCCCCTTGCCTCAGCCTCTTGAGTAGCTGGGACTACAGGTGTATGCCCATGCCTCGCTAGTCTTTTTATATATTTTTTTAGAGATGGTGTTTCCACCATGTTTCCAGGCTGGACTTAAACTCCTGGCCTCAAGCGATCCTCCTGCTTCAGCCTCCCAAAGTGCTGGGATGATGTATTTGCCATAGTTCCTGGCTCAGTGGGTGCTTTATGACTATGAGGAGCAGAACACTGTGGATAGTGCTAGCATGAAGGAAAAATTAACCTTTTGTGAGTAGGCAGTCATTCAGCATATATCCACTCCTCTCCCTCCCACTGGAGGGGGAGTATATTTCCCTGCTCCGTTGATGGGTTTGACCATATGATTTACTTAATGGAATTTGAGCACACCTAACTTCAGCAAGGGCCTTAAATGCACTTGGCTTTTGTACTCCCATGATCTGCCATGAAAACATTTGCCAGGTTGCTGCTGATCCCAGAAAACCGTGGAATCCCATGGAAGAGACCTGAATCCTCCCAAACTGCAGCCACAGCAGCCGTCCCACAAACCCTTAGAAGAATGCTTGTTGGTATAAGTTTCAGTTTTCATGTTGGGAGGCTGAGGTGGGTGGATCACTTGAACCCAGGAGTTTGAGACCAGCCTGGGTAACATGGGGAAACCCTGTCTCTACAAAAAAATAGAAAAAATAGCTGGGCATGGTAGCACATGCCTGTAGTCCCAGCTACTAGGGAGGCTGAGTGGGGAGGATCGATTGAGCCCATGAAGTTGATGCTGCATTGAGCTGTGGTGGTTTCACTTCACTCCAGCCTGGGAGACAGAGTAAGACAATCTCAAAGAAAAAAAAAAAAAAAAAAACCCAACAAACAAAAAAATCCGAAAAACAAACAAACAAAAAAGGTCTCAGTTTTAGGATAATGTGCTACACAGCATTATTACAGTGCTAGTTAATACGACTATGTTTTAAACCACTGAAATTAGGGATTTCTTTGTTACTGTGACATCCCAATTGATGTCAGTGTTTAGCACCTGTCAACTAGTGGCCTCCACTTCCCAGGTTCAAGTGATTCTTCCGCCTTAGCCTTCTGAGTAGCTGGAATTTACAGGCATGTGCCACCATCCCTGGCTAATTTTTGTATTTTTAATAGAGACCGGGTTTCGCCATGTTGGCCAGGCTGGTCTCAAACTCCTTACCTCAAGTAGATCCGCCCTTCTTGGTGTCCTGAATTGTTGGGATTGTACAGGCATGAGCTGCTGCACCCAACCCGTCTTTTAAACTGTGATAGATACAGGTTGCTGACAGTTTTAGTCTTGGGACCTAGATTCAAGCCTCCAGCTCTCCCTCTTACTCGGTGACCTCAAGCAAATTGTTTAATTTCTCTAAACCTGTTTTCTCATGTGTCCACTGGGAATAATGACATCCAATCCTGGAGTTGTGAAAATTCAGTGACATAATGTCTGCACATTTGCTCTGTCAACATGTGGGTGTTTGTGTAGAGGGAGGGATTTGTGTTTTTATTACTTACTGGCTGATGATTCTGCTGGGCTCTCTTAGGATCAGGTGACTCCAGGGAAATCACATTTCATTCTGTTACCCTAGTTGCTGTGGGAACAGAGTGACTGGAGGCAGAAGAGACAGAACCTGGCAGGTGACAGAGCCAGAGGGGTGAGAAGCAGAATTCGCTGACCTAGGAGAGATCAAGGGAGTATTGCAGCTGTCACCAACATGGTAGACCCCAGAGGGGGCAGTTTGGGAAAGTGATGTGTTTCAGTTAGGATGTCTAGATTTTATGTGACTTTGGGACATTCAAGGGGTGGCATCCAGGAGGCAGTTAGCGATCAGATGTGGAGCTGGAGACAGAATGTGTGGAAGTTGTCTGTGCAGGGAAAGAACCTATAGACTCGGGAGTAGATGATGGATTTATTTGTTCATTCATTCATTTATTTAGTCAAGTATTTATTAAGTGCCTTCTGTAGGCCAAGCACTGTTTTAATACT